TTTCACCACAAAATTTTGTGTTTATCATTAATAATGTATTATTGAATCATTAGGAACATATGTTAGAAAAAAGACAAAATCTGAAGTATTAATTATATCTTGTTAAATATTAAAAACAATAATTAACTGAAAATGGCTGCGTATTTGTCTATCGAATAAATTCTAGACAGCCAATAGAACAGTTTTTCAATTCATCTGTATGGCGATGTGAAAATCTTTTAGCGCAAAGTCTTTCTGGTATTTAATAAGATGTAACTCTGACACTCCAGACTTTTTTTTTAATATGCATTACTACAATTTAATAAAACGATTTAATAAACATAAAATTTTTTGTTGCCAAATTTTTTTGCCACTCTGTATAACATTCACTTTTTTATTTCCTCACTTTTTAAAATAAATTCTTTATAGATTTTTAAAATGTTTATTGACATTATTATTAAATTGACGATTAATTTGAAATATTATTCAGCTTTTATTATACAGCTTCAGTTTTGCGACTGCGTTTTCAAATCTGACAAATCGAGTCAATAAGTTATTTATAAAATTGAAAGATGTATTTATAAAAAATTCTATATAAATATTATACGATATTGTACAATATTTACATACAATTCTTTTAAAAATACACAATCTAATAAATATTTTCTAAAATTAAAGTATACATAAAAATTACTTGATAATTTTTGTATATTTGTTAAAGTGATTAAAATAAATCTGTAACACGAATGATCCAAATAAAGGGCTAGAAAATCATTATTTGAACTAAGAGTTAAACACCAAGTTCCGCTTTGACCAAAAATAGATTTAGTCCCTCAATTGATCAATTTGTTAATTACTGAATTTTTTGTCATAAAAAACTCTATGTAATATGTGTATGGATTGGCATTAAAAAATATTGTCCAGTTACTTTATTTACATATAAACGATGTGCAAAGTAACAGATCAGGAATCCTACGATGTTTACGTGTAGACGCCCAATGCTGGATCCCGTTAGACCGTCGTATGCATTCATCCACGACTAGAAAAAAATTTGCGTGATTACACACGTGCGTGCACGCGGCAATGCACGTCGCGCATAATGAAGGAGCATCGTCTCCAAGACGCGACGCGACGCGGACGCGACAGGACGCGATGCAAACGGCCGTTACATCATTTATCTTGCGGAAATCGTAGGAAACTCGTATCGAAATAGCTCCAAATGCTACATGTCCCATCCGTGTAACGGTGTGTGCGGCCACGGTGTCGCGTATCTCATGCTCCACGTGTGCGAGACACGTAGGTGTGGGTCGCGTGCGTAAGACGTGCGTGCAGTACGAGTATGAATATCGTATCAGCAGTTTCAGGAGGAAGTTGACGAGAAAGCGGACAAACTGTATTACCGTAAGGTATTATCGTGCACGATAAAGATAATTTATTTGAAATACACTATAACAAGTTGAATAGTCTCGATGGAACATAAAAATTACACTTTGACGTACGGTTATCGCAGTAAGAAATTTTGCTCGCATTTCCTCATCACGCACACGTTGATTGAACAACAGTTTATGTCAAAGGTATCAAATGCATATAATTATACAGAATGTTTTAAATATAATAGAGCCTCTTTCTCTAAAATAAATTAATGAAGGTCAAATCGTGGTCGGATCGTGATATATATTCTCCTATGTTTCTATGTGAATGTTTATAATTTCCAGGTCAACCAAACTGCACACCGATTATCTGTCAGTCATGAAATACAATCCAAACTAAAGCTGGAGTAATATTATAAATTAAATTGGCGAGTAATTTAATATTACTGATGCTAACGAACATATTTAAAATACTATAAAGAATTTATTGTGAAAAATATCACCTTAACTGGAATTCAAGCCTTATATAGATTTTTCTTTCATTCCCTGACGAGTTTTTCTTCATGGAAGAAAAACTAAAGACAGCTAAAATAAAATAACTACTCTAAATTCTTTGGAGTGGGATTTCATTGTATAGAATGAAAATTAAACTAATCTTGAAAAAGATTGGCTCAATGTTTAATCTTTAAGAGTAAGATTTCACCCTTCAGAATGAGATTTACTATAAAAAGTTTAGGACGTAATATATAAAGCTTTTAAATTTTAGATCTCTTTAAAGATACAGATAACAATTCCGTAGAATTACATTAAAAATGCGCGCATAAGATTATCTCTCAGGACTCTATGATTTTATCCCCATAAGTTAGTTAGCATGTTTTTGCATCTTTGAAACGTCCAGTACGTGAACGTGAATATATTACATTCCGCCCGTCTTCGTGGACACGTCGCCTGATAATGAATCTCGGTGGAGAAAAGCTGCTGCCTTTATGACGTTCTAGTCGATTAAGCACGATGTAATCGCAACTGCCCGCCGGCAGATGTTTCCTGCGTCTCTCTTCGTGTCGGATTGGCGACGGCGACGTAATCCAATTTGATGGTGGACATCTTTGCGCGATCCCTTCCTCTCAGTGTCATCCCTTTCTATTACTCGTTGTATCATGTGTGTTGATATTACTACTTATCAATATTTTTGCTTCTGAATATTTGATATGAGGGATACAGTAGCATGAAAGGTATAGCCCTGTTATTTGAATCTTCATGAATACAAAAAAGAAGTTTGAAAAAGTCGATCCAAAATGTTAAACTATATAGATTTTTATGAAAAATGTTTATCAAACATTCTATTAGATTAATCAAAATCATACTGATGAGAATTTTCTGTGAAAAATGACCAAGAGAGCCAATATGGTGACTTGAGACACATGTGCTGCCTTTTTTTTTGTATTAATTTTGTATTAACTCCATGTATTAATTTATTAATCTCATGAACTTCGCAGTGCATTCTTTTAGTCATTCGAATGACCCTCGATCTTTTTAATTTGCTTTCTTCTAAATTCTGAGAAATGGAGTGCATCGTAAGTTCTACTTCTACCGTTGATGTGCTACATACAATCCTTTCTAGTGTGATTCTGTAACCTACTAAAAAAAGTTCTTCAGTAAAAGTTTCATGGAAACAATTTAGTTCAACGTTTTAGATCGATCCTTTCATCGATCGCAGCTTTCCTCTTTTACTCTTACAAAAGACTTGAATTTTGACGCAACGTTAGTTTTCTGTTTGATTATGAGAATATTGGAAAAACTGTTAGATTTAAGCATCCTCCGTCGTCACTCGTACACGTTAATAGCGTATAGCGCAGCTATAATAAACACGTGGATGTTAATGAGATGCGATCATAATTTATAGGACACTGTATAAGTCGCGGTGGTATGCGAAAATGATGCTAGGCGTGGCAACCAGAGACGCGGGTTCAGAGTGATCGTGAACGGGAATCCTGAACGTAGAACGATAAGACTCCACGAATAGTTCGGATATATAGATTCGCACGTGTGCTCACTGCGTTATAGCCACCGGGATGGCACTCATTTAAAACAGAAAGTGACGTCTCGATAATGCTATCATCATCCACGAGATATTGTTTCACTTAAAGCGGCTCTATCGCCAATTTTATGTAACGATACTTGCATTCCAATTCGAATTATGAGTACTATTCTGGATTTATTTACGATGCAAAAGAGGACTGATAACATGTTTGCTGCACTGAAAGAAAAGATTGGCTGCTACAGCAAATTAGATGGTAAAACACGGCCCAGCATTTTTAATTGGCTGTAACCATCAATTTTTGGTTGTTTTATCCACCTACCTACAATGTTAATATAGAATTTCGATAGGCTAATGCAATCAAAAATTGGCTACTGCAATTAAAAATGCTATGCCACATTCAGCCAATCTTTTCTTTCACTGTGTTTGAATTCTCTTAAATATTTATACACATTACATATAAAAAGTCGTCTTACTTGTTGAATCAGAATCGAACAAATTCGTTTATCGAAAAAAAATGGAGCGCAAAATATTTTAAAAATGTGACTTTTATAGCAATTATTTTCTTGGCACAATTTCACGAACAAAATAAAAAAACCTGATGAAAGTGATACGTATGCGCCTACAAAAGCACGGTGCATAAAGAGGTACATCAAAGATAACAATTCACAATACCGTCCGAATCATAACGGACATAATGCGTCGAGGAAAAGATCGCGAAGATTATTATGTGAGGCGCCCGTTCTGCAGGTCGCAGCCATTCTGTCGTTCCGAACAGCAACTAAATGAACAAAATTTATCATTTATTAATGTCACGAATGTCATGATAGTATAGAAATAGATAGTCGTTGTTGTGTTAACTAGAATAGATAGTCGCTGTTGTGTTAACTAGGTCATGTGACGTGAGCGCGTTACTCCAAATTAACTGGCTAAATGTATCACGTGCAAATCGGATGGTGATAGGCACGATAAATCATGTTAGCGGAAGTGCAAGCGTGTGACATTGTCAGCTAGACACGCTTCGACCTTTAAATATAATATATATGTGCAATTGCAATCGCGTTAATAGTTCACTCCGAATCAATATCTGCCGGCGGCGAAAAACAACATCAGAAGTGGTTTCATTGAGAGAATGTGGAAAGAGCAGTCTCGATCATATAAATGGTAAAATTATTACGCAGAAATAATCTCCTTTAAAGAGATGTATTTCAAAGAGATGTATTCAATGTAGTCACAATTTATTTCTAAACATGGCAAATTACAGGAAGAAATCTTGAAAGAAATACTTGCAAGTTCTTACAGAATAAATAAAGAACTCCATTATTAAAGTCTAGAAATTGTCTTCTTGGATATAATCTGTTTTATTTTTCAGTTTCACTTTTAAGACTGGGACATAAGTTACTCCCAAGAACTACAAAGTACTAAAGTTATTCTTGGTGAAGAAATACCGTGCAATTTTTCTTATCGTCCTTACTTATGATTTATGATCCGTGCTTATCGAAATGTCGTATCGAAATCGTCTTGTCATTCTTAAAAAGAAGACGTGCTTCCAACAAGTCCAACCGATGTAAACATGAAAAAAAGAGCCCGCTGCATGGAGATGAGAAAACAAGATGTACCGCAAGTTCGTCGAGAATGATAGCCCGTCAAGGTGCTGCTTGGACAGTCTGACCTCATGCCACGAGGCCGTGGCGATTTACCACCTGGAAATGCTTAGAAGGGGTTTCTCATCCACGTTTTCTAATGGTCTATTATTGAACGGTCTTATTGAAGAGAATGCTTTAGTGAGGACCGCCATGCCTGACGCGTGAAAATTATGAGATAGAAAGCATAACAATGGTACATAAAACACACGGCAACAAATTATCTTGAGCCATCGTAACTTTGATTTGCGTTTTAATCTTTTCAATACAAATTATATGCATTGTAATTAAGATATTTTTCGAAATTGAAGGATCGCACGTAAGATCATAATTAATTTCCATCTTTAAAGTATTTTAAAATAAACAAGTTTTTAATTATGTAATATAATATCGCTCTCTTATCTCAAAGTCCAACTCAAAAAATTAAGTATCTCAAAAAAGAGAAAAAATATTTTTCAATTTAATCTAGAAAATTATTGACTAATTATATATCTGCAAAAAGAAAAAACCGTATTTTTAAGATGATCAAATGTTACTTTTGTTTCATATAAATCATCTTTTAAAAAATCATTCTTTTGGAGTTGTGACGATTTGACGATTTTTTTATATTTATAAAGCTAATTCACTTTTAATATTTATTTAATTCATTCCTAGTAATAACTTTTTCACATTTATTTCTTAAAGAAAACGTAGTACAATGCAAAAATAAATTAATAAAAATATAGTAATATCATATAATTTTTCAAGTGAACAAGTTGAACATTATATTTATAGTACTTTACTTTCGCTTCGCTTTTCAATCTTTTATACGAGTCATGTGCAAAAAAGATCCAAAGAATACTAAACACAGAGAAAACCTTTCAAAGAGACCGCCATACGGAATCGATACTGTACGACGGCGGCGCTCTGAGTTTCGTGCCATGTCAATTATGTAACCACTAGCACATGCTGCGTAATACTTTATCTTCACCTGTATTTATTCAATCGCGAAAGAAAATTATATGCGTTTGTATCCATGTGAGAATATGCACGCTATAAATCGTGAGTGTCGGTATTTGTGACGTACCAAGTAAAATATAATACTTGAGTATTACTCCTCAAGCGAGCAGCATCGAGCAACATCTACTGGCCCAATGACTGCAGCCATCTATTTGCCAGCACAATAGCCTCGCGCATGCGTGAAAGAGTGAGCCAGCGGTGACATAGATACAACAGATTTCAAGTATACTAAAATCTTAAAAATCTTAACAAGATTCTTCTAGTTTTTTTCTTAAACAGATATTTATTAGTATAATTCTTGCAGAATTAATCGAAGAAAGTAAGATAGATAAAAGTTAATTACAAATATATACTTATTTGATTGATATCTACAGCGGAAAAGTATGAAATTCCGCAAATGCGATTGCACAGAGTTCATTTAAATTCGCAGTACGATTCTTCAAATGCTATTGTAACAATAAGAAAGAATTAGATCAGAAGATTATCGCTCCACATCGTAATTTGCAACGCGAGTAAAAATGAGATTCAGTCTGTATAATTCCGATTGTCTAACTATTATCAGCCACTAGAAAGTATTCACTTTCTATTGCTATTTAAGAATAAGTGCGCAAAAATTTCGAAGGAATTTTACATTTGCTGAACAACGTACGATATTTCTTCATTTGTTTTCACTCACTTTATAATTAACTCACTTTGTTTTCGCTAATTAACTTTAATTCAGGGTTGGCAAATAACGCTTGAGTAACGACGTTACATTTTCTTCTGAATAACGTTCATAGTAACGCAATTACATTTTTGGAGTAATGATAATGATTTCACTAGTTACTTTTATCGTTTATTTTATTTTTATTTACGTAAAAGTTTTAATATATATATAAAATTCTAATCATCTTTTTTATAGTTGCCGTAAGAATCTGCATATAATAGAGTTTTTCATTGGCAGAACTAATGTGCATTCAGTGCACTTTAAAGCCGTTGTACAATCGACGTAAAGATGTATGGTTAATAAAAATATAGAAACGAATTAAATCGTGTAATCCTCAATACATTTTATTATGCTATTTGATAAAATATACTTTATTATAGGCATTATATCATCTCAGATATCTTATTTTTAGATTAGAATTGTGTACAACGGCTTTAATGTGCATTAACAATAAATAAGCACGAGTTTTGCCAATGAAAAATGCTATAATATTCTATTAGTGTGAAGAAAAAAAAGTAATAACTCGTTACATTTTGATTGATGGTAACGAGTTACTTTTTAAGAAAAAAAAAAGGGTAAGAAGTTATTTTTATGAGGTAATATTGCCAATCCTATTTTAATTTCAATTCAATTTATTCTTTATCTTTTTCTAATTTTATAGCCGGTTCTTATATTATTGGTTCTTATATTTACGACCATCTTAAGGACAGTCTTGAGATGTCATAAACTAATGATGGATTAATATCTTAAGACGTTATTTTAGATGATCTTGAAACAGAAATGAGCTATAAATACCGGTCTAAGAATTAGAAAAAAATGTAAGTTGAACCGAGATGATGGGACCTGTTCTGTAGCTCTTAACGGCTGTAATTACAATATTACGGTATCATTGCAGGTACATGGCAAAAAACTGCGCAAAGACAATGTAACACTATAGTTAACAAGAGTTACAGAATATGTTCCTAAAATTTAATCTACATTGATGGGGGGGGAACAATACAATTGACGGGAAATTAGACTTGATTAGACAATTGTTAATAAAAATTGACGATAAAACTGAACGCTTTCAAACAACAAAAATGCATAGCGTAAATAAGCGTGTTGAACATTAACTGATAATCCAACTTCGTACAATTACGACACCCATCGCTCAAAGTATTCCTGGAACTTCGCGACTACCTCGATGAAGCAATCAGAATCGCATAGCGGCGAATTCACGCACGCTGATGTGCAAAAGTTGACGCGCGCGCGCCATCAATTACGTTGTTACTCATTCCGTTCTGACGCAAACACACGTAAAAGACAGAAACGCTAACGTTACACCACGGGACATGATTCGCTTCCACCGTGCGATCATACTGAACCTTGTTAACCTTGACATTTTGAGCAACTCTCTTGCCGCGCGTTTATTTTAGAAAGGCAGAACGACATGTCCCATGACAAATTCTTACCCCGCGGGTCGATAAGCGATACTATTGAGTATGATGCGATTACTTCTATCATCATCATCTATTTATATACAGACTCTCCTAGAAGCATTATCTCTTTTTTCACAACATGCTCTTAAGTTGATGTGCGTGACTGTTTTCTCTTGATGACAAACATTTTATTCTTCCTCATAAATCTTTCGTGTTAAATTTTCCGATACTTTCAGTAAGATTAGCTAAAAAGAATGAGATATTTCGATTTTTATGAAACTTACTTTTAATAACTTGAAAATCGCTTAGATCTCCGCACTTTATTTATGGAAAAAAAACCTCATAAAATTTGCTCTCTTTTTTTAGATTTCTGATCTAATTTTTAATTGTTGTTACAGTCCTTGTAATGTCAATGTTTTTAATATAAAAAATAAAATATTTTATCGCGTTTTTTCCTATAACATTAATTATTTTCAAAAGAAGAAGAAGTTATTACGTTTGATAATTGCTTGGATAATTATATTAGTTTAATTAATTTGATAAATATCTTTTTATTTTACGGTTTTTAATGAAAAAAATACTCTAACAAAAAAACAAATTTTCTCAAATTTGTTTATAAAATTTAAGATCAATGGGGATCGCGCAAATTTGATCAGAAATTGATCACTGAAATGCAGTCACGGATAATCAACTCGAGCATCGAATCGAGAACACTGTTCTCCACGAGATACGTCAATCTTTGGACAAAGATATTCCAGAAGAAGAAGAAACCGTTAGCTTCAGAGGTTAGTGGGTCTCTCGGTTTCTCATGAATTAATTCGGCCACTCCCCTAATTATCATCTCACGCGTTGTATTTTTTTATCGAAAAGTCCGAAGGAGATCTTTTCTCAGAGGACCGTGCGCACTTTCCCCGGACACTCTTACGTAACAATACACGCTCGTGTTACACTTAGCGTGTCTCCATTCCCGTGGCATTACGCGATCGCATGACTGTGATAAACTCGTAATTCTTCCCAGTCGAACAGACTCCAAGTATCGTTTCAAGTATATTGTGTATCCCACCGAAATGATTGCACAAGTTGCAAATTACTTCCGAGTGTTCTTACAGTCTTGAAATAGATTTGCGGTATAACACTTATCCAGAGAGGGAGCAATTCAATTTTTAATTCTTATTTTTATTTCTCTAAATGTAAAAAAAATGCTAATTTTTGCGATTTCAAAATCATTGTTTATAAAATTAACGTACATTTCATTTAGAAAAAAAATTGAGAAAAAAATTTGTTCAATTAACTAAACATATATTACATTGCTTGCAAATTTCGTTAATTCAACAAATTCTATTAAATAAAATTTGTTGAATTAACCAAACAACTAAATGTTTTAGTTCGTTGAACAAATTTTTTTTTCTCAGTGCAGATATAGAGATTAGACAAACTCTTTTATTAAAGTTTTTTATTATTAAGTATTTATTATTAAAGTATTTATTATTAAATATAAATTCTTCGCGTTCGATGTCACTTTCTTAAAAATTGCTTTAATCCATGCCGCAATAGAAACTTTTTATATGTAATTGTTATGATTTCATAAATTTAAAATCTTCATCAGAGTATCCGTTGCAATTCTTTCTCTTTTTTTTTTGAACATTGGATAATTCTAGAATCTTACTTTACTATGGTGCAAAGTTACTCCTGCCGATGCAATTTAATCCCGTCCTGTGGTAACGTGAAACGGCAAAAATATATACAAGTAATATGATCGTGCGTTGAGAAACGACATTATAGCGACTGTCTGATCGTTTCCGAATGGCATGCGCAAATTCTTAAAATCCCTCCTTTTAATACTTTCATTGCGACGGGTTAATTTCTTCTATACACACGGAAAGCCGGAAGGACCAGCTTGACGGCGATGTTAACGAGTCGACGCGTCGAGGAAAAGACGTCGTAACGGAATGTAACGGTCGCGACTTTGTCCCGCGTGCTCGTGATGATCCTCCGAGGATATTTCCTCGATCAGTCAGCGTGTACAAAGTGGCCCGACGTGATTACGGTATCTTCAATGCAGGTCCTAACGAGCTACCTATTGCAAACCGACGAACCCCCCTGGACTTCGTACTTCGTTCGATATGCCGACGTGGTGAATGATCAGCGGGGAATGTCACACTTCAATTGGCCAGCGGGCGGCAGCAATTATCACGTACTTAGGACCGGTTGCTTCCCGTACATCAAGTATCACTGCAGCAAGCGGCCGAAGCAGGATCTCAGTAGCGAGGACAGATTCTTCAAGGCGATCAAGATATTGAACCTTGGTAGGTTGCAATGATAGCTGGACGCTCGTCCAAAAAAAGGAATCCACGTTCGGAAAGGTGGCCTTGTTCATTTACGCCACTCGGATGCGATAAACCGGCAAACTCGTAAATCCTATAATTATTGCGAACACGATGTCATGGAATCCTCAATATTAATTCTATAAACAAGATTCTTTGTTTTTTAAAATCTATAAAAGTTATTACTTCAGAAATTTGAAATACAGAAATGTATAGTGAAAAAAAATACTAAATTTTAATAAATATTGGTTTGAATAGTTTCTGTTCTAAGTCTTCTGAATAAATATTTACTAAATGTTAACATATTTATTTAATAAAAAAAAGATAATTTAATTTATCTTTTTTTATGGAGTAAATATTTATTTATTGTAACTAAATGTTTATTCAGTGTACTACTCGAAAAATTATATATTAAGATTTAAAGGAAAAAGTTCGGAAAATTTAGTTTAGTTAAATTTAATTAAATTCTTATTGGAACGAAATTCTTATTTTCCTTTTTACAATCTTGATTTA